CCCCGAGGCCCTGCCTTCGGACCGCGGCCAGGGCGCCGGAGGGCGCGGACCCCGACCCAGAATAAACGGCCCCCGCCGCGGCCCGCGGGGAGCGGGGGAGGGGGGCGGGGGCCGGGCCCCGCGCAGGCTCCGCGGCGGCGGCAGAAAATGGCAGCCTGGCACGACCCGGCCCCCCGCCCCTCCCCCCGGCTCCCGGCCCTCCTCGGCCCCGCGGGGCGGGGGACCCGGGAGGCCCCCGGGGGCGGGCCGAGGGGTGATCGCGGGGCCGGGCCGGGGAGCGCTGCGCTGCGATCCTCCTCCGGCCACCTGTGGCTGGGGGTGCGGGGCGCCAGCGGATCTGGGAGGGGCGGCGGGATTGGGAGAGTGCCCATTTTGGGGGGCACACCTCCTCGCAGAGGTCCAGGCGGCGCTGGGGGGGGTCGTCGTGCCTGGCTCCTCCCTGTCCCCGCCGTGGGCCGTGGGAGCCGGGGCGGCAGTGGTGGCTGCGCCGCAATGTGGGGGCGGGGCGGGGGCGGGCTAGGATACCGTCCCCCGGCCGCGGGGGCCGGAAAACGCGGGGGTGGGAGAAGCGGGGCCGGAGTTAGGACCGGCGCGGGTGGGGACGCCCGGGGTCGCCCCCTGCAGCAGCCCCCCCCCCACGCACACTCCCACGCACGCGGACACACTCACGCACACGCACCCCCGCCGGGCCGGTGCAGACGTGTCCTTGAAAGCTTCGCATCTGCACACTGAAGGACGAGGCCTCACCAAGGCTGCGGATCGGGGTCTTGGTCCCCACGTCCCAGCACCCCGGGAGACCCTGAGCTTCGGAGCCGCAAGCGGCCGGCCACAGTCCGTGTCCCGCCCTCACCCCAGCTCCCCTCCCCCAGGCCGCCCTGCCCTCCCTCCCCTTCGGCGCGGACCGAGCTGGCGCGGGTCCAGGGGCCCGCCCCCGGCCTCCCCCAGCCCCTCTTCGCTGGGGCCCGAGGCCCTCAGCCAGCCAAACTGCGTTTCGCTTTCCTGGAGCCTCCCTTCTTGGGGGCACCCTCTCCCTTCCCTCCCCCCTCTGCTGTTTCTCCCCCTTTCTGTCCCCTCGGTTCTTCCAACCTCTCTCTCTCTGCTGCAAGGCCTGTTGAGGAGGTGTTGGCGACCTGGGTAGAGAGTGGGGGCCCGCTGGTTCTCGGGGACTCTCCCCTGGCTCCTGAAGGGAGCCCCCTGTGGCTGCACCTTGACCCAAGATGGCGTCTTGCACCCAGCTGGGTAGCTCTGGCCTGCGGCAGGCAGGGGCAGAGGAAGGGCTGGGGCCCCTGAGTCGCACAACTCCCCCCTCTCAAACCAGCCTTCGGGAGAAGCGCCCTCTGCCCTGTGACCCAGCTTGGCCCTCACTGCTGTGCCCAGAGACTGCCATCAGCATCCCTGGGGGACTGTGCAGTCTTCATGTTTCACCCTAGGCTGCCAGCGGCTGAACCGCCTCCTGGGCGGGCAAGCTGCGAAGGGATCCTGGGATCAGGTGCTGCTCCAGTGTGCCTCCTCCCTCCCAGGCAGATGTGACAGCTGCAGCCAGGGGAGCTCTTCTCCTTCCGTGTTGCTGGGGTGTTAGCACTGGCCTGTGGGATTTGGGGAACCCAGCTGTCAGTGGAGTGGACCCTCTTTGGGCTGTCCTCTCTGCTGGTGGGGGCCATCTCCAGGTACTTTTCTGAGATCCCTACCTTTGGAGAGTTGAGTTGTGAGGAGTTCCTGCTGGGTTTCTGGGGCAAGATGGTGCCCCCTGTCTGCCTCCAGGTTCCACTGAGGCCCTGGTTGGGCTATGTGACAGGGGACTCTGTCAAAGTGTGTGTGCATGTGTGTACATGGGCCGCTTCCATGCCGGGACCCAGGCTGACTTGTGCAGTGGCTCTGGCACCTGCCTGCCTCGCGTCCTGGGGCTCCCTCCTGCTCTGAGCCCCGGCACCGTCTCCAGCCTTTCGCCGAGCTCTCTGGTGCTTGTCTGCAGCTGCCCATCAAATAAGCAGCTCCCGATTCAGGCTGACCATGGCTGTTCTTGTTACCCCACCCGGGCACCAGTGCCGTCAGCAGGAGGCTGACCCCAGGAAAGGTGAATTCCTTCTAGATTCAAGGAATGACTGATCCACAGTGAAAGGGCTGCCCTCCCAAGCCTGGAGACGCCTAGGAGAGGACGCCAGTGGCCATCTGTCAGGGTGTCTGCGGACAGGATTCCTCTGTGGGGTGGGGGTTGGACTGGAGCCGGAAGGTCCATTCCAACTTTAACATTCTATGGCTCTGATTCCGGTGGTGGAATTTCAGACCCAGGGATGGGGGCAGGGTGGTCCGTTTTTCACTACACGGGTAATCAAGGCAGGCTTCGAAGAAGAGGAGGTATGAGCGGGAGCAGGCCCTCCCAGGGGGATGGTCCTTGGACAGAAGAGGTGGTATGAGGGGCGGGGGCCCTGCAGGAGGCAGATTGGTCAGGTCTGACTCTGCAGAGGGCGAGAAAGTACAGCCTCCATTAAACCTTCACACGCGTGTAGGTTTATGTGTAAACCTGTGTGTGTGGATAATTTCTGAGGCTTCTGTGTCCAGTTCACAGTAAGCTCCTCAGTCTCTTATGGATATTTTACTGTCACTTTCATGCCCATATCTGCCGATTATCCTCTCAACAAGCCAGCAACGAAGACAGGACAAGCCCTAAAATCCTTGTCCAGGGTCACCAGCGGAAGTGGAGCCAGGCCTGCACTCCAGGGAACTCGGATGGCCCCACGCTACAGCTCTTTCCTTGGCTCCTGCTGTCTGCTGTGTGCCAGTCTACCCAGGGAACAGGGACCTTGTCTGGGCTCCCTCTGAGTCCCTGCTGGACACCCGTGAGGCCTCCATGGGCGTCTGCTGACTGAGGGAAGCTCACTCACCACCCTGCCCTCTCCCTAGAGGCAGCTTCGGTGGCTGGACCCTGTCCTGCTTGCTGCTGCTCTTCCAGTGCCGGCTGCCTACTTAGGGGCCGGTTCCTTAGGCTCGAACGTCCCTGAGACCCAGGTTCTCTCCTAGCAAGAGGCCAGACACCCCTGAGGCTTCTTTTTTTTTTGGGAACCAGGTAGGAAGGGGACTCCGAGAGTAGCCTTGCCAGCTCTCTAATGGGTGAGTTAAAAACAGACCACCCTCTTGCCATCCTTGGGCCTGAAATGTCACCATTAGAATCCAAGCCTTAGAATTTCAGCCTGAAAGAGAACTTTAAGTTCTGAGTGTACTTGGAACTGGGTAGGGGGCTATCTGGGGGTGGGGGGGAGGCCCAGTTCTTCCCACAGTTGGCTGCGCTACCCGGAGCCTGAAACCTGAAGGGCCAGTTGTGTGCCTGTCACATGCCATTCTCCCTTGGCACTTCCTGCTGCCTCCAGCTTGCTGACCTGGGGTCCCCGAAGTGGTTCCCACATCCGTCCACCTCATGCCCCCTTGAGAGCTGAATGTGTCTCTGGCCTCTAGCAGTCAGGGCAGGGCAGAGCCCTCGGGGAACTGCTTCTGCCTGCGTTTTTGTATTAGTGGATAACAGAGCCCGGCAGGACCTCGGCTGCCTCTGAGGCTGGGTTTCTGCTGCTCTGAGCAGGGCTTTAATAGTAAGCTAAAGGGGCCAGAGATTCCTTTCCACCTCAATTTTGAGGACTCATTTTCAGTCATTTCTCTCTTTGACTATGTTCCCCTAAAAACGTGACCAAATCTGAGATCCATGAAGTGTCAACCTGAGATTCGTATCTGTGTCTGAGCCGGCCTCCACTCGGCGGTATGGGCAGGATGGGCTTCGGTGCACGTGTGTCTGTGCGTATTTGCGTGTGCGTGTGGTGTGCGTGCAGCCGCCGTGTGTGATAGGTAGGACTTGTGTCAACATGAGCCAGTTTCAAGGCAGCGTAAGTGAGGGCCCTGGACTCGGAGCTGCGTTCTGACACTTTCCAGCTGCAGGGTCTTGAGCAACTAACTTAATTTCTTTGGGCCTCAGTTTCCTCGCCTGTGACGTGGGA